TACACCCTAGTCTTTAAGAAACTATAGTTCAGTTCAAGTTTTTTTTAAATGAGTTGAAAGAAAATATAAACTTGTACTTGAAACAAACTAATCCATGACACCAACACTGTACACAGTAGGTCTACATATTAGCACTGCAACTGGAAGATGGCGACTGACTGACTGTGTGACTGGGACATAGATGAGCGTCTGTAATGTGGACACCATATGGAGACACTGAATAGAGTCTATCAGAGGACAGAAGCCTATCTGTGTCCAACACTTAGATGTAACATTGATTGCTCCAACAGCAGAGGCTATGTACAGAGCCTTTTTTTGGTCATCATCACATGAGGAACATATTTTGAAAGAAAAAATCATGTTGCCTTCAATAATGGTAGACAGAAGTGAGAGCATGCCTATTACTCAGCCTCAAATCTGTTTCAATAGCTTTAGCGAGTAGCAGGTACAGATAAGATTCTCCTTGGTTCCTCTATATGTTCAGTAGCTTTAGGAAACCATTATACACAGTCCTAGAAATGCCATAATTTCCCTCAGGGTGAGACAGCATAAAGCACTCAGTCAGCACAGCCAATGAGGTTAGGATCATGTGTTACAAGTGTAAATATAGCATTATTCATGTGAGAGACTGCATCACATGGAAGGGAGTACACAGTCCTGTTAGACCACATTGTTTTATTAAACTGACATGACTAAAAATGAGTGAGAATATTAGCCCTCTCTCCAGTTGCTCTACTGTTCCTTGATGCATTATTGTGGATTCTGTCTGCCTACATGGCCACAGGGCAGCGCTGAGAAAAGCCTACTTTGTGCACATAGCTGTCTCCTTACGTCATGGTAAGTCTTATGGGAGGTACTCCTATGCATTCCCTGGAGTGTCTGACTCTTGTATGTGTGTGTGTGTCAGTTGTTACATCTGTGTGTTTGTGAGTATGTGTTTGCCAACATGAACATTTGCGCATAAGTACATTTTGTGAAACCACTGGAGTGTGTCTCACTTGTCTGGGCTTTTCCAGTGAACACACACTGAGCTAAACATGCCACACAAGCAAAAACCGCCACAGACCCCTCAGTATACTGTATAGAAAAGTGACAACCCCCCTTCTTTTCCATTCTTGTCTCCCCTCTAACCTTTATGAGGAAGTGTGACGCAGTTGGGTTCAGACTTCTATTGGGGCTGTTTAATATCGTCTTCCTGTGGGGGCAAACAAATGGCATGCCATGGGAAGAGTGTCGAGCTCCACTGCCTGCCTCTACGATAATGGAAGCTTAAAGGGGAACTTTACACATCAAAGTGTGTTTACAGGTCTTGAGGAGTACTGCAGCACATGTGAAGAAAGTCGTACTAATAAGCCTTTTGTGGCTGCAGATGGAGCTCCACGAAATATGATAAACTGCCTCAAGTGATGTCACTGGGTCTCAAGGCAAGGTTTAACACCTTAAAACTGATTCCCAGGCCGGAACAAAACAACCCCAGTGTTTCCTCTAGGATTTTTTTTAGCAGTGGGGGCAGGCCTGTCCGAACAACGCAAACTTTTTACATATGAAACAGAACTGACACTTCGCTGCGACACAAACAAATATATTTACCGTTTCAATGTTTCCAGATGTTTGATATCAGGACGTTGAGCTGACAAGTTGAACGTTGTCCAATTAAAACGGACCCACCGCGGTGACGTTTTTAGTGGAGCTGTTAAAGTTTAATAGTCGACCTCAAAGAAAGCAAACGTTTGACAATAAGCTACATCAACACAACAGTATGTGGAGTTAAACTGGACAGCCCCAATAACCTCTGAATAGTTCTACTTGTTGTTAAATTGCAATGTGAGGGGCAGCCAACGGGGGTGCATTATGTCGGCAGGATCATTTAAAAGGCAACCCTGACGACATTGTGCGTCTGCCCCATTTCTGATACCGTGGCGGCAGAAATTTAACAGCGAGGAAACATAGAGGAAAACACTGAACCCATAAGTGTCACAGCGTCATGTTAACTCAGAGTATAGCAAACTTCGGCTCATGCTTTAAAGATAACTAATGAAAACCTGGTGGTGGTGAGACGACTATTTCTTTTCTCTTGTTTCTGGACTAGTACGAAAGGTTCTGTGGACGAAGAGGGGGATAACGGATTCCAGTGTTGTCCACCCAGCAGCCACTGAAAGCACCCCTTCTCCTTTCACCCCTATGTCAAAGATCAAAGGGAAACCATAATCTCCATCCATCTCCATCTTTCCGTCTTTCTTTGACTCTTCTTCTCTACTGTCCATAAGCCTCACAAGGCCTCGTGGACTTAAAGGGGAACTTTACACATCAAATGAAATGTCAGAAATGGTTTCAAGCTGCTTGGTTCTGCTGTTTGTCTGATTCTGGGCTGCAGCAAATATCAGCTGACATCATGCTGTAGGCACATTAACATGGTCAACAACTTTCAATCAATGACGTATCTCCCAAGCTAGTCATTGGAGCAGGCAAACTGACAGGCATGGCCAAATGTAGCTGCATCTGTTCGTCACAGATTTTCCAACCCCGGTTGATTTGTGACACAAAGAGTGTAAAGGCACTTTTGCATCTGTTTAGGAACGAAGAGGAAGAGGCCAACTAACCGAGCTGAAAGCTTTCAAAAGCAGTCAGATAACATGCCTCACTTAAGCAACATAATTAAACACTGACTGTGGCCCATTTTACTACCCACACGTGCTCGAGTTCACGACTTCCTGAAGGGAAAAAAAACAGATAAATTAAACTGTGCGTGCGTGTGTAGAGACACATCAAAGATAAATGTTATGATGCCTTTATGCATTTAAATTACTGATTAATCTGCTGATTATTTTCATAGGTAATTGACTAACTGTTTGGCATTTTTGCTTGAAAAAATTTGATACTGAACTAAAGCTGTGAACGGACCTGAGGACAAACACTTAAACCACATAAGATGACGGAATTCCAGCAACAATAAAAAATATTTTTTTGGTCTTGAGAATCAGAAACGTGCACACACTGAACAGCTCAGTAAACAGTGGACAGCAGTCTGAGCAACAGGTAGACTACAAATTATAACACCAGGCAAACACCCTGTGTGGCTGTATCAAAACAGAAATGGACATCAACTGCTCAATTATAATGCAATGAAAAGAAAATGGACAAATATGGATGAACTGGTTGATGGAAGAGAAGTGGTCAAACTAGGACCGTTAAGTGTTTGGTCAGCATTTTATGACGTCAGGAACTCTTGCACACACACAATAAGAGGAACGTGAAGTTTTTTTTAGCCACCTATCATTGCAATCATTTTAACTAGCATGTTCAAAGTCTGCTTAAAATTGATTCCATCATTGTTCAACTACTGCATTTTCACGTGCACCTGTTCCTCACTCGGCTACTTCTTATAATAGGGGTAATAATAGGGCTAACTTGTCTCCTGTTTCACTGCCTGCTCTTCATTCTCAGTTGAGTGACATCAGAGTTCCTGAAGTGCAAACAAGAATTCATGATTGCAGAACAAACATGTAAAACACACACACACACACACACACACACACACACATACACACACACCTGCATCACCTGCATGACAGCACCTGTATTTCTAAACTGTGCACAGCTCCAAGCTTTAGACTTAAATGTCAAAGTGTGTCAGGCTCTACTGGAACAATGGCTCGGCAAGTTCAGTGGTATGAATTTCACAATGCTCATCTGCCTCCTCATTCCCCGACACAAGCTGTACTGTTTCTTTGGAGCAAAGTAAACCAAAGATCAGCTAACCTTTTGCCTACATGCAATAGTCAGTACATTGTAAAGTAAGTAGTGTTCCTGCTTGCTGATGGTGTCTTGAGGGAGTAATGCCTAATGGGAGCTAGGGGTGGTGTGTGTAATGTGTGTTGTTTCAAACACCAGTATTGTGCCTGCGTGCACCTGCCTTTACTCTCTGTATCTACAAACAACAACACCACACACACACACACACACACACACACACACACACACACACACACACACACACACACACACACACACACACACACACCACTTTAAAAGGCAGTTAGACCAAGAGGCATTATGGCAAAAGCAATACAGTAAAACACCAAAGGACAGAGCCCTGCTAGAGCTCACTGCACACAAACCTCTCCAAAACCAGAAAGTGTCCCAGCATACATTATTAACAAGAGACAAACTATCCATTTCCAATTCAACTGAGTGGTTGGTGGTTCCTAACAGTGGGGTCCCGGGACCGCCAAAGATCCATGAGACGCCTCTTGGGAGCCCCCCAGAAAATCAGGAATATTTCCCCCCACACCCACACACACACACACACACACACACACACACACACACACACACACTAGTCCACATGATGCATTAACAATTAGCCCTGTTAATGCATCTTATGATGGTGCTTCCCTTTGCAACTACAACTTCTTTGCACCTTACCTACCTATTTATCTTTCTACCTAAGAATTTTATTCTATTGTTGTAGCTTATTCTATTGTATTTTATTGTGTTTAAATGTACCTGGCTGCTATGATGACCCAATTTCCCTTCAGGGATTAATAAAGTCTCTCTCTCTCTCTCTCTCTCTCTCTCTCTCTCTCTATCTTTCTTAAGTTGTTTGAATCTCCCTACTGGTGTTACTTGACCACAATACTAATACTAACGTAATTTAGTTTTATAGTCATATACAAACCTTTTTTTCTAACTTTGGGGTTGGAACCAAAGATAAATCTGAGGGGTCACTGTTTTTGCTTAGAAAATACTGAATATTTTTACCTTTGCAGCCTATAAAAATCTTTGAAGTCAAATTTGAGACAGAAACAAAGTCTTTGTCCTATGATGAGGGTTCACAAGTAGATACTGATTCATTTAAAAAAGGAGTCAATAAAAAAAAGTTGGGAACCACTGGAGGAATAGTTAGAGGACCACCTACGATCCTGCTCGGGGTCACAGGTCAATAAAGACAATTTAAATGAGACAAGCAGGTTGCAGGACATCCAACTTCATCAACTTACTTGTATGGAGTCGTTCGCCATCGTTGTCCCTGTTGCTCTGTTTTCAGTCAGTTTGCAGTTTTCACAGACAACCTGTGCACATGTGAGGATCTGAACCTCACGTCCTCTCCAAGACAGTAAAATTAAATGATAATCGCAAAAAGGACCGGCTATTTGTCTTATCTCAACTTTATACAGTCTGTATTGACACAAAGGCAAACAGTCCAGAGGTAATCCGCATTGTTGGCTTGCCTGGCCGCGCCTGGATTGAGCCTCCCCGTCCTCTTCAGTGTGTTAACCCAGCGTTTAGCTCTCACTTCACGGACATAAAACCACAGTCTGCACCTTTAGCAAACAGACGGTCACTCGCTCAAGAGCATCCAGACACAACTATTAACCCGCAGAGGCATTGTTCATCTTATTCTTTGGGTGCTTGCCATTCAACAGCTAGCAAGAGCTCCCCATAAAATCCCCCAGCAGCCCTCCTCCGTCATGAACCCGGGCGGTGATGAAGTCACATCCACAGACAACAACAAACAAAACAAAACAAAAAATTAAAGCTAGCCCCCTCTCCGCTGTCTTCTTTTCCCGGGGAACATCCGTGAAACACGAACACGCCTCAGTCTCTTGTCTGTTATCACATGCCGCCTGTCAGTCCTTCATACAGCCAAATGGAGGGACAATAGAAAGCTAAACCTGCCCACTAAAAAAATAAACAAAAAAATAAACCCTCACCGCTGGCGGAAGTCATAAAAAACCCGCAAACGACACACAAACCGTCCGTCGCTAGGGGCCCAACGTCTCATCACATTCAAACCGCGGGTAACTGAGGGGAGAGGAGCACGCACCACTTGTACCACCAGACCTTGCTGCGCGCTCCCGACGCTCCAGCAGTGCCGCCCGGGCGATCATTGGTCCGGGGCTGGGCGGCGGGGGCGCGCCCGGATGTACCATGTGACCTGCACCGGCTAACGTCGTCGACTGTAACTTGTTATGAGCCAACTGTTGAATGTGTAGGTTCAAGTCCTGTATCTAATAGTACAGTAAAACTCATCAAAAATAGGTATTATATCATTCTAGTTTATATTATTACTGGTTTTTATTTTGTATATAGAATCTTAATCTGTTTAACATCAGCATTCTCTCACATCATGTTTATCATCTGAGTTTCAGTGTGTTTGCATGCTCCAGTACAGCTGAGGTTTATGAGAATGGCCTTAATTTGGAGGATATTTGGTCATAAACCAGAGTCAAAGGTCCAGAAATGGAATATAATGTTCATAGGTATGTTTTAATTAGTGTATAATCACCTGAATATAGGAATCGCTCTGTTTTCCTCACCTTACAATGAGATGTTTTTATATACAGATGTTTCTACAGTAGCCCAGAACGGACAAACCAAACAGCGACTCTTGATAGGGTGTTTTGTGTTTTCCGTGAGTTTTGCGGCCACTGTAGTGTCTCCTACACGTTTGGAAGGCTGAGCTGTATTCAAATGGCTGCAGTCTGTAACTTAACCACTAGATGCTGCTAAATACCACACACAGGTCCTTTAAGGAAAGTTATTACAATTCATCCTGAAGGGGATATAAATGTCTGAGCCCAATTTCATGGCAATTCATCCAGTAGTTGTTGAGACATTTCACAAGTTGGGACCCTGGAAACAAAATCACTAAAACCTTAAATGGCTGCTCTTGGCCAGAAGCATCTATTAGTGTTTCAGTCATTTATAGGAAAAAGAAAGTCAACTTATCAATCTGCTCTTTTTTCTTGTTCTTATCTTACTTCCTGTTTTAGGCTGAATCAAAAGCTAAGACATACACACACAGAGACACTTTCAGAGGTCTTGGTGCTGCAGCTGTTAGTTAGATGTGTTAAGGGGACTAAAGATACAATCATGATTACAACAGTTAATGATTTTTCCTTATCTAGAAATAAAGTTTTTCATACACATCAAAACTCCAACCACAGATGAATACTGTACTCTTATTATGAGCTTTTAAGCAATAAAGATATATCAGAACTGTTTTATGGCGCAGGACCAAGTCAAGTCTCAGCTAGTCTCTAGTTTTTCTCTCAAGTCTTAAGTATGATCAAGTATTTCTGTAGTCAAGTCTAAAGTGAGCCAAGTCTCCTGAAGTTAAGTCCAAATTGCGTCTTACTTGGTGTGATCCTTTACTCTCACAGACAGTTTCTACTGTACAAAGTTAACTGAATATGAACATGTAATATAATATTTCCTGTACTGTGGTCGTTTTGCCTCATTGTATAAAATCCAAGTACAAAGCAGAGAGTAAACAAGTGAAATTGGTGTTGAAAGGGTTAAATCTAACTCAAGTCTCATATTCAAGTCTGCTGCACAGGGTATTCTTGTCTCCAGAGCTAAAGTGGATCTCATTCAACAGAAATGGTAATCATGTATTATTACATATGCGTGTATGTGAGAGAAACTCATAATAGGGTTAGGTGATGTGTGAGTGGGCGTCTTCAGTAGATTTGATAGAGAAGTTGAACAGGATCATATTTGCATAACTGATTTCCATAATGAAAATAAGCCAGCAGAAAGATAGGAAGGAAGCCGGAACAGAAAGTGATCCCAACGCTCCAGGATACACACATATCTGATATGTATGTGACATGAAAATGTGCGCTGTCACAACTAAAAATAAAAAAGGAAAATACTGAGTCACCCACTGTCAGCACTTAGTATGATTCAACTTGCTGTGAGTAGGAAAGAAGATGACACTGTGAGAACATCACAAATGTGTTGAGAAGGTAGTAATGATTCATGATAGGGTGACCTATTCCTGATTCCTAAGTTCTGAATTGAACCAATTTTCAAACAATATCCTGTTCGTCCTGTTGACCTGGTAGGACTGTGATGTAGTTTTTAAATTAAAGTTAATGGACGGGAAAGGATAAGACATGTTACACAAACTTTCTGTGTGTAGAGGATATAGGGGAAGTCACAGGAAGAAGACATCTGTTTTGTGCGTACTTCAGCAAAGACTTTATGAACAGTGTTTTTTTTTCTGGATGTTAAAGATAAGTTGCAAAGAATGTGTTTACTGGTTAGCCTACTTTAAAACAAGCTGACTGAACAGTTGATAATAATTGTATTACATCACACATGTCAAAGAGGAAATGTCTGTATTGTTATTAAAAAGTAATATGCGGTTTGTTATACATGTTATTCAAATCACAGGGCTATTTAAAGGTCCACAGTGGCTATGTTCAAATGACTGAGGCTGTCATATCTTTAATATTTTTACTACATGTGATTACATTAACATGTTATCATTGTGTTAGGCTGGCAAAACTGAAAGAAAAACACATAAAATCAGATATCCTGCAGTTGAATAAACTCATTTAACAGATCTTCACAAAACAAATATTAGATTAGTTTATATGGATAACTAAAACTCTAACTTGGATACCAGAAGATAAATGCATTTGCATCAGTGAACTGATTTGTGGTAGCGTATTTCCAAATAGTTTGTTTAGTGAAACCGACACTGCAAAACCAAAAGATGTTCAATGTACAATAATGTGAGTAGAGTTAATTATGGATGTTGAGCTATGGCTCCAGGGTTGGGAGGGTAACTTTAAAAATGTAATCCGACACAGTTACTAATTACATGTTAACGTATAGTCAGTAACCTAATCCGAGTATCACAACAGTTAAGTAACGTAATTTGATTACTTTCCATTAGCCTACTTCTGGATTACCTTAACATGTGTGTAAAAACAAGAGAAAGGAAACGTCAGTAAGAAGTATTGATTTCACAGGACAGCAGAACAATATAACCTTTAAAAAGAAAATAGAAACAGAAAAAATGAAAAATGTATCCTCTGCTCAGTTTATTTTTAAAAATGTAATCCTGCTAAATAATCCCATTTTTTTTACCAAATGTAACTGTAATCTGATTACCCCTTTTTTTCGCATCCTGATTACTTAACTCAGTTCCAGTTTTTATATTTTTTGCACTGTACACCGCAAAGCAAGCAAACCTTACAAATAATAAACAAGCTTTTAATGACCTTTGACCTTTGACCCCTGCGAGGTTCAACCGGAGGAACAGAGCGAGGTAACGGTCGTCGTAACTGCTAGCTACGTAGCTAACGCGAAGGTGAGCTCATTAGTTATTAAAACGTTATAATAAACAAACGGCGTTCATTATCTTGTGATTTAACCCCAAGTAGTCGAGCAGTATGCAGTCGTTATCGCTGGTCGTCTGTTTACTAATAAAAGTTCGTTGTGTTGCTAGCATCAACGGTGGCAAACGAAAGGTTAACGGTAAACAAAGCTAACAGTCGTTATCGCAGTCTGCTCACGGAGCGTTTCTTATTTTCAGCAGGTTTCCTGAGAAATACCAGTTTGATGTACGAGCAGGAAGCATGACCGATGATACTGAAGTTCAGGTTGAAGTCCAGCTCTCCACAGACTCTCCATCAGGACACCGGCGGGACGAGAGAGCTGAGACCGAGTCCGACTGCACGGAGAGGCTGCAGAGCGACGGACGAAGAGGTTAAACACTGTGGATGTCTAACTTAATGTCTCTCAGTTTTACCACTCATTCACTGTCAGTGAGTTAATTGAATGTGTGTGTGTATATATATATATGTGTGTATATTCTTCCTGTTACTGTAAAGGGCATTTAATGTGTGCTCCAGAGGTGGAGGAGCCGCTGACGCTGTTGGCTGATGTTGCTCTGGCGCCTCCCTGTGGCGACCATGCGGCCTGCAGCTGTGACTGTGAGGCCTGCAGCTATGTGGAGGTCAGAGGGATGGAGGGCAGCCTCCAGTCCATGCAGCTGCTGCTCCAGTTCCTCATGAGGAAAGCAGATGACTTACAGGACTACCTCGTCAACGGGTAGGGTACTGGCTGGTCATTATGGACTACTGCTACCTGGGTATTTCTGGTAGTTCATGATTCTGTTTGTGTGTGTTTTTTTTAACAGAGGGCATGTAGAAAGAGAGGCTCTTACCACCACAGTGCCCAGTTTCCTGTACACCTGTCAGCCTTTCTTTAACCATCTGGAATCGATAGCTAGGAGCACCGTGACCCAGCACTCCGGCCTGCCCTTTGACATCTACACGAGGGTAAAGAGCGCCGTAGTGAGCAGCTTTTGTGTCACGAGGATGTTGAATGAGTTTAAATATATCATTCACAGGTTGTGATTTTAAACTTTTATTATTTCTAATAATATTCAAGTGATTTTGGTTCATTTGAAACCATTGCCATTTCATCTGAAATTCCAACCTAAAACATTTTAATACTGTTTAAAATTAGGTCATCAGGTATTCCTGATGTATTTTGCATGTTGCTCTTTTATTGTGATTATTGTATGTATTTTTATTAGCCAAGTGGATTTGGTTAACAGAAAATGTTCAGATTGACAGATATCTGGATTTGTTGTCTTCCTTGAACTCAAACTACAGGAAATACTAGTTGTGACTGTTACTATGCTGTAGTTCCAGTTGTTGGAACAAACCGTCTGCTAAAGTGGGCATATTATATCTGTTGCTGAAGGGCTCCAAGTTTAGTCTAAACTTCTGCTCTGTGTGTGTGTGTGTAGCGCGTGCAGCTGCTGGACTTTTCTCAGCAGCTGTGTGACCGGTTGGAGCAGCTGGTGTTGACCTGTGCCAACTACAATCTCCTGTGTTTGGACGAGACGGAGCCTAACAGGTACACACACACGCACGAGAACAACACACATTTCTACTGATACTGAATTCCTTTTAGTATTTACTTTTTGTTTCTTTCTGGAAAAAAACATGTCACATTGGCACAAACAGAACAAAAAGTCTTCATGAGGTAATCAGACATACAAATATACATTCATTAATTTAATTTTGATGGGTTTCCTGCATTTGGTTTCATTTAAATGATCCATGTTTTCTCATTTCTTTCATTTTATTCTCAAAACTTGGATCAACTTTTCCACTGAATTCATTTCTTAAACAATAACAAACCATTGCTCTTTTTCTGGAGGATTAACTTCACACCAGTTTGTTGGTGTAGATTTTTGCCAAGTGAATGTTCTCTAAGTAGTTGTGTTTACTAATTTCAGTCTCTACTAAACCTTTATTATGTCAGGGAAGGTTGTATAAGAGGAAACATGCTTCATAGGCGAGACAGTACAGTACAGTACAGGACAACATGCTCTTAAGTAAAATTGTCTAAACTTAGTGATCATTTAAGTGCTTTAGTCTTCTATAGTTTGTAAAGATATCCTTCATCCCTTTATATATACAGCCACATTTTATATCCAGTAATGCTTTTTTTTAAGTTACGAAATATCTGAAAGAGACATCTGGAGGCCAAATGTAGTTGCACACGCCTGTAATCATTTGGAGGCTTTGCAGTTCCCACATTATAAATACAATAAATTAAATCAATATGGTACATTCCCTTCTCTCCACTCTGACAGATCGCTTGATATTGTTGGCAGCGTAAATGTATCTCCCTACAAATGTGGATTCTACTATTTATATTGGTATTTTAGATTGTTATGCTGGTATTGTTTTCTGCTTATTTTTACCAGCTGAATCCTGTGAATCCATTTTCTTATTCTCTCCCTCTCTCCCGTGTGCGTGCCCCAGTGTGTCTCACTTCTGCATTGGCCAGAGTCAGCTCGGTCGACTGAGGCTGACCACGTTCCTCTACTGTAAGCCGACGGCGTACCTGGCCCGGGTCGACACCGGCCAGCACAAACGCATGCGCTGGAACGTGGACAGACTCCGAGACGAGCAGCAGCAGACGGATGAAGAGCAGGGTGGAGAGAGTGAGGAGAGGGAGGCAGAAACAGTCGGCAACACAGAGTAGTGAGTCTGGGTGATGAGTCTGTTTCTATAGTTTTGATAGTAAATGAAACAGGAAATAAATATATTATTACCAAAATCCCAACGTCCCATTCAGTTACTTCCTGTGCTGCGAGGACGTTCCCAACACGCATGCAGAGGCCGGCGTGGATAGCCCCCAAGGTAACACTGGGAGGATGTGGTCCATTGGTCAGTGGGTGCAGGTGAACCCTGACCCCGACACAGAGGACATCAATGACTGGTATACTGATTTACATTTGTTCATTCATTCCTCCGTAGATACTTTTACGTAAAGAGATGTTCCCATGCTCAGTGTGGTATCTTGGGGGGTGGGGGTGGGGGTGTTAGACTAAAAAGTGTAAAATCAAACTGATAATTAGAGCAACAGTTGCTTGTGCTCTTGTTTGTTTCAGGATCATGTGCGAGGTTCCTCAGGCCAGCTATCAAAGGCTGTTGTTACTGGGCAGCAGTGAGCCGTCGAGCTGCAGCGCTACAGACCTCCTGCTGCAGCTGCTGCTGTCACAGCAGGCGAGAGAGCGACGTTGAGCTGTGAGCGAGTACGTGTGTGACATCCGTCTCTGGGATACACCGTTCTTTACTGTTGGAAGGATAAACAGCCAATTCTCAGAGGATGGTGCAGATAAATCCTTCAGCTAGTTATTCAGTGTTGAGTTTACGTGAGATTTTAAAGGTTGAACGTCTGATTTCTTACGGACGTCGGAGCAGAAACGCCCGAGCTGGAATCACAAGCACGACCGTAAAATCTGGCGCTTTTAGCCAGAGTGAGTTGATGCTTTTTTTTAATCCACATTTAAAGATGAAGACGTTTGTGTTTTCATTACAGGCTGTGACCAATGTTTGTTTCAGAAAGTTGTATTGCCTCAGTCAGGTTATCTGCTGTGAGCAGTCTGTTTTACGCTCATTATTCTATCACTTTAATCTGTTCAGTGTGTTAATGTTGTAAGTTTTAAAAGATTTTAAAGTTTGTAAATATTTTAGGTTTCCACTTTTTTTAAAAGAGAATTTGGTTGTGTTGTAAAAGACTTCCAGAAGAGTTATTAAGAAACACATTTTATTTACATGAAACAGCATTAAAATAATTACACACAATCACAGATTTCTGTCTTTCAGAAAATCCAAACAAACTTAACATTTTAAGACAAGCTGCCATGATTTGGGCTCAACAAGTGTGAGCGCCCATTTACTTCATTTCAACAGGTTCATTGAGCCATTTAAATTAGCTCGCACAGGCCTCACCTCATTTTTAATAAATTAACCCAAAACGTGAGACTTACCAACTTTGAGTCTAATGAACTATAATTAAGATATCTGTGTTCATTTTGACCTCATAACCATTCAGCTCAACGGTTCTGAGGACTGGACATGAAGCATAAGAAGGCGGCAATTTACTTAAACAAAAAATAAAATCCTCCATTTACAACCATCATCCTTCATTGTCTATTCAATAAAAATCTATAATATGACTCTTAAAGGGCAACTATACTTCTAAACCTCTAAAGTACAAAAGTAAAGTGGAGTTTCCCTTCGTTACAGTGAGCAGTCTTTTTGAACAATATACACATAAATGCTTACAAAAACACTACACAGACACGTTTGAGAGGGCACATTTTAAAAAGTCCAGCTTTGTCAAAAATGCAGTGAGCGTAATGCGTGTCCTGCCTGGAGGTACGAGAACGCAACCGTACATAAGCATAAACACATTCTTGCTTTTCAGCTGCTACACATAGGCTTCGATAAGAGAGCAGACCAACTAGTCGGTGATGGTAAAGGGAAATTAACGGTAAAAGTCAGTTAATTTTAAAGCACTGGATGGACTGGATTAAACTAAAGTTAGCCTTTATGCTATTTGACGCGAGCAGGGTAGTAAATCTGACTAAATACAAAACGTATTCAAATGGACAAGAGTGCAAATGAATGTCAAATTCTGTTAGCATTTCTGTGTCCTTCAGTTACATTTACAAAGGAAGAAACTGTCTACTACTTAGTGTACAGTGAAGCTGACTGCCTTAAACACCGACTGACAAACACATACAGCACAGGTATGAACATTTACAACCAGAGAGACACACTTTCGTACCACAGCTCATCACAGTTTCAACAATAATCATTAATACTCAGAATAACCTGATATTGAACCCTCCCAGCAATCCCTCCCTTTTCATTATCCTCCTCTTCTTATCACACTATAAAGTGACTCCTGACCTTCACAGCAGTATCGGTTAAAACCCAGTTAGTCGTCTTTTAAATCTGTGTACTGGACCAGTGTAGAGGGCCTTGTATAGTAACCAGCTATCATCTGTCTGTAGTGAAATAAAATGGGAGCATGAAACACAAGGAAGACTATACCTGTGGGGTAACAAAGCAGTGATGTTGCCCTTCAGCAGTATTTCATTTGATCACTAACAACACAATTATAAGCACATAACTAAAACCTCATTAGTCCCTGACTCCAGTGTTTTAAAGGAAATGTTTACCTGTTGTATTGACCAGACTGAGATCATGTAATGATGCTTGAGCTAACGCTCAGGTTGTCAAAAAATTTGATGATCCGCCTCGTTTCTAAATCAATACATGAGCTCTTTGAGCTCAGTTTGCAAATAAATTATACCAAAGAGGACGACACCCAGGACTTAACCAGCCAGTGTCAAGGCCTCAATCAACATATTAGAATTATTACAAAATTAAAGAATTTAAGACTTTGATTAAGTGCAATCTCAGAAATCTGGGATTATTCAGTAGCAAGACATCTTCAGTGTTCTCATTTTACTACAACGTAATAAGGAAATACACCGATCAGCCATAACATTATGACCACCTGGGCACCCTGACAGGTCTGCAGCTACGCAGCCCCAACAAACTGTGTTCTGACCCCTTTCTATCAGAACCAGCATGAATTGTTTCAGCAGTTTGAGCTACAGTAGCTCGTCTGTCGGCTCGGACCACACGGGCCAGCCTTCACTCCTCACGTGCATCAATGAGCCTTGGCCTTCCATGACCCTGTCTCTGGTTCACCACTTTTCCTTCCTTGGACCACTTTGATAGGTACTGACCACTGCAGACCGGGAACACCCCACAAGAGCTGCAGGTTTGGAGATGCTCTGACCCAGTCATCTAACCATCACAATTTGGCCCTTGTCAAAGTCGCTCAAATCCTCACGCTGCTCAATCTTCCTGCTTGTAACATGTCAGCTTTGAGGACAAAATGTTCACTTGCTGCCTGATATATCCCACCCACTGACAGGAGCCATGATGACCAGATAATCAGTGTTATTCACTTCACCTGTCAGTGCTCATAATGTTATGGCTGATCAGTGTATGTGTAAACATGTATGCAGAGTTATGGCTTCAATTAAAGGGGCTACAGGTGAGGAACACAAAGTCAATTTAAATTGATAATGGCCATTTGGCACCGTCGGTGTGTTTGTGTGTGTGGACATGGCCACCCATGGCACAGATTTGGCATAAAGAAAAATATCCGGGTTCAACCCTATTAGAATCCCATGATGCATCCCTGCTACTGACTGTCAGTAACCACATGGTGCTGGTTGTGTGAGTTTAAAGGATTGAAGTGTAATATTATCGTCAGTGTGATGTTTGTTTGCAGTGGTGTAGGATAGCGAGTGTGAGGTGAGAGAGGTGCAGAGTTTCACTGTGGGGTTATGTTGCGCTCGTCTACTTGAATTTCTGAGGTGGAGATGAGACCCAGGTTCTTCACTGGCAGCACCGGAGACTTTGTGGCCCTGAGTAGAGACTCTTAGGCAGTGTCACAGCTACCATTGAGGACACAGAGGTTGTGTCCTTATTTGATTTTGTGAATTTGGGAGTTAAAGCAACCTGGAGGTAGTTTACATTTTACAATTAAAAACTTTACAGGCTGATATCAGTGTGTTTACTATACACTCAGTATACTTCCATTTCAGTACTTTAAAGCTAATAGAAAATAAATTAAAACCCAGGGCTTGGTCCATGAACATACTGACATTTTCTAACAAAATACATTAAACTACTCACGTATCTGTTAAAACCCCCTCGAGAGCCTAAGTGTTTTAAATGAGGAAATATCAGATTGAAAAATAATTAAACAAGCCTAAGAATATGACTTGCCACTATTGATATATTTAGTTTGGTACTCAAAGTACTGTGGTTGCAGAAAATTTGACAGTTAACTGAATAAAGGCCAAGGGGAGAACTTCAACCTCAGTACTTCTAAAATCCCAGCCCTGCTCTTAGTGTACGTACAAATTCGATTTGTTTCACAAACTTCACAGTAAGCACGAATCTTAATTAGGGTGGTATCCATCCTGGGAGTAAGCACAACCTGAGAGTCTTAATTCAGGGCAAGATTTGCTTTTTTACCATTATCCGTTAATAAACAGCATGCGTGCTTGAGAAACAGCCAACAATGGAGCTGTAGCACCGCCAAGCATTGTGTATCTGTGTTGTGCTCGTTTTTACAGTACAGTTAGAGATCCCTGTCGTTCTTAAGTAAATCTATGCAGTGGTCCCCAAACTTTCATCTAATGACCCCTTAAAACAGAGCTCTAGATTTGTGCCTCATTGTCACAGGTTGAATCTGTCTAAGTTCAGACCACATCAATTACTCCCTCTCAGATTGATGCATTTTAATACTTTTTAAATCCATAATAGGCAATTTTTTTCAGTAGTTTTAAAAAAGAAAAATAAGCAAAGAGTAAATCCTGAAGAAATAAAAATATTGTTTAGCAAAAATAGGATTTTATGCTCATCTATCTTGCTAATCATCTGGTGACCCCTTGTTAGTTGGAAACCACTGATTGTGTATGGGTCTACCTCCAGGGCTGGGCAGTATACCAGTATCATTTATTGTATATCTCTGTGATACCATCATGGTTTTTTTTTTAAACATGTTGTGAACTAACAGTCAATTTAATACTACAAAGCAATTACCAATTTCTCTCAGGTTGTTCTTCTGAAATACTTGTGAATGACAGTTTAAAATAACTTTTTTTTTTTTTTTTACCATTTAGTATAATGTGATGGACTTTAGTTCATCTTCCTTATAGATACTGTGATTTAGATCAATGTTGAAGAATTTCTACTTGGTATTGCATTTTTTTTCCCCACATCACCCTGCCCAAGCATTTACTTCAAACAGTTCATACTGTTCAAGAAGTCAATATTAATATGCTTAATTGTGTGTATGTGCTGCTCTGCATGTGTACATCCCCCTGTTTGTTGTGTACCCATTCTTGAATTCCCATAAGTATGTGTGTGTGTAAGTAGACAGCATTTGTGTTATCTTCCCTGTATGTTAGTGTTTAACAGTACTGCAGATGTTGCATTTTAAGTGACACACCCACATCCACACCCACACACACCCCCACACGCCCCCACACACACACGCCCACACACACCCACACACACACCTTCAGTGATGCGTCTCCAGCTCTACCACTGTCCACTCTCCCTGTGGGGAGTTCCCAGTGGCCTCTGGGGAGAAACTGCTAACAGAGGTGACTGTGGCAGAAGGAGGGGTGAGTGGAGGCAGGAGGCTGGGCCACAGGCTGCTCTCCAGGGGGCTCAGTGTGCCTCCTGCACCCCCTGGCAGCAGCAGAAGGGAGGAGCAGCCATCTCTGTTGAGCAGCAGGGTCTGATTGATCAGCTGCTGGACAATGTCCACTTTCTTCCCCCAGTCCAGGTCCAGGGGTGGAGGTCGCTCTGGAGACTCAGGAGGGCAAGGGGAGGAGCTGTCTCCATCCTGGGAGGGGTTGCTCAGTGTCTGAGGGGAGTCTGGGAGAGGAGGAAGGGTCTCTGTGGATGGCGACGAATCTCCAAGTTTGTCTTCATCGGATGTCCCCCTTTCACAGTCCTCGTCTATTTCTTCATTTGACGTCTCTGGACTAGGCTCCTCTTTAGTAGTGTGCTGCTTTATTCCCTCTTCATCTTCAGCCTCCTCTTCATCACTGTTCTCTAGAGCTTCATAGATGGTGCAGAGGCCAGAGGAAGGTGACAGCAGGACCGTCTGACCTTTATTAGACTGTTGCAGCTCTTGTTGCCACTGCATGATTTGCTGTCTTTGCTTCAGCTCCTCCTGCTGCTGCTGCAGTTGCACTTCAAGGTCTCTCCTCTGCTGGAGCTCCTCCTCTTTCCTCAATTTTTCCTCCTCTTTCTGCTTTGTCATCTCCGCCTGCTCTCGCATGTTCTTCTCCACCTCCTCTTTATTCCTCTTTATTTCTTCTTCAGCCTCATCTTTCTTCTTCCTCTGCTCCTCTTCCTCCCTCCTCTTCCGCTCCTGCTCCGCCTCCTCCAGCGGTCGGCTCTGTTGCTCCCTGCGCTGCTGCAGCTCCAGCAGCTGTCTCTGGTGTTGCTCCAACCTGCGGAGCTGGGGGCTCAGCGACTGCTGCCCAAGGTTCCTGGGTGGGAGGTCGGCACAGGTCAGCTTCGGCGAGGTGACCGCGGCGCTGTGAGGTTTGACGATGTCACAGTAGGTTCTGGGGTATGCTGTGTGATCGCGGCGGTGAGGGTGCGGTAGTGCAGTGAAGCCTGTGTGTGAGAGGAAGTGGGAAGGAAGATTACAGTAGCGTGGTGTTATAAAACAGGTCACAGGCAGCAGGACAGTGACAGCAGTGCAGTGTGAGTACAAGCAAAAGGGTGTAGAGGGAAGGGGGCGGCCTTCAGAGGCTCATACTTGAAGGAATAGTAAAAGCATTGTGAAGCCAAGCCCAAATGTCTGCCAGTGGCCTAACTGACCAGCAATTATTTGTATTTGTATACTTTGAACAAGTGACAGTGGGACATTGTTTGAAAGCAGTGCAGCAGTGACAGATACAGCCTGCTAAGTATTCAGAGGGGTGGAGACACAGCATTTGTGTAAAAACAACAACAACAAAAAAAAAAAAACAGACACACCAGAATAGTGACCCAAAGTAAGGTGACTGGGGGTGGTGGCTGGGGCAAGGGTAGGGGCAATTTGTGCAGAGAGCAAATGTGCATATTCAACGTGGGTTTTTTTTTTTTCCTGTACATTTTCTTTTTAAATAAATGACACCCAGAAAAGAAAGGGTTTTTTGTGCAAAAAAGCAGCCAACTTCCTGTATATGCAATCACTATCAACTATGGTGATAACCACAGAAAAAACCTATTGCGAGCTTAAACAGTCATCACCCGTGAATGAAGTTTAAAGTTAGTCAACCAATGATACATGCAAAAGCTCTCCATGCATTTATAGACATCCAGCATCACAAGAAAACTAAAATAGCTTGGCTTTAGAAGGCTAGACATTATTCCAACCTAAGTACATCAAGTCCTAGAGCCAAGCTATCTGGCTGACCCTGAACACACCAATCCAAAAGTAAAGTAATGAAAGTCAAGTCATTGTGCAACAGTGACATGCATAAGCATAAGTTAACATTAATACTATAAAACAGTGCAGCAAGAATGCTTAAAAAAGCCAGTAGAAAAGAGCTAAAACAGCAACACACCCACAGTGGACTGGAGGGAAATAAAGTAGCAGCAGAATGAGCCGGACGGTTCTTCAGGTTCGACGATGAGATGTCCAACTTCTCTGCTGCTTCAGATGGCAAAGTTTGATCCATGGATGGATCCTGGTGGTGTGGATGATCAACTCATGGCAGATTTGTTCCAGTTATGTGGTTGCTCAGACCCGTGAAGTCGTTGAGGTAGGGCACAATCTCCAGTTTATTGTGTCCAGTTTTCAAAGTAAAGGCCAAGTGAGTGTCTGTGTGAGTGTATGGCAAGATTAAAGCAATGATAAGCTGTAGGCTACATGGTTGACTGAGTGGAAGTGTCTGCAATATAATGAGCCACTGGTAAAAAAAAAAAAAGAAGCTTTTGACACCTGAAATTAACGTGTTAGATTTGTCTCGCGCACAAATCCATAGATAAGTATGCCTAACACTCCACTCCCAAGAGCCCATTTCAATAAAACTATACAGTGAGAGAGTACATCATGGTAAAAATCTAATCTTTATTTAAAGTTTTAAGGTTCATTACTCCAAAAGATGGATAAACACAAGAAAAAAGCTGGATTACAATTTAAAGTGCAAGAACAGATGAGGAGTGATCAGGGATAAGAAAGATTGCCTGTATCATAAGGTAGGACAGCGAAAATCAAACAGGAATATACAATCAAAACTAATTGTCAGTAAAAAGTATTGGGATAAATACACATGAAAACATGTTAAACAGTTCATTCCACATTTCTTTTGTTATGCTTTATTTTCTTGTTTTCCCTCTTTAAGAGCTGTAAACAGACAAGTCAAATCCATGCCAGTTCAGGGTACCCACATAATTCTGTGTTAAATAAAACAGAAACCAAAACCCAGACACGCTCACACATATTAGCAGTAAATAGTAGTAGCTATTGCACATACAGGAATTTAAGCCATATATTCATCATGGAAAAGTTATATCAGAGGGAGGTGCCACTGCTGTCCTCTTTTTCTTTTCTTTTTTTCTAGTGCTCTCTGTTGTTTTGTTTTTTTTAAAGTTTAACTTTGATTACATCCACCCCCAGAGATTTCAGGACAAACACTGACGACAAGAACTACAACAGTGAGATATTGTGGATAGGCTGGAACAGGGCCAGAGGGAGTTAGGGGACATTACTTGGGCTGTTAAGGAGATTATGAACTATACATTACCTGTAAAAGAGTTCTCAGTCTTTTCACAGATAGCAGAATAGTACGGAGGCTGGATGTCATCTGGGTTTTCCTCTGGTTGCTGCAAAGTGCTAGGAGTTGATGAAGGATCCAGGGCTTCCTCTGGCCCCGGCACTTTCCCCCTGACATGCTCAGCAGACTCCGCTTCCTGCTTCCCACACTCGATGTACTGATGCTCTGCGAGGTACGGCTGGGTGTGAGGCTGTGGGATCAGACAGAGCTCCTTGGCCTCCTCAGGCAGCTCCTCCAGAGAGAAGATGCCAGGGCTCTTGACGCAGCTCTCCCCTGTGGACTGGGCATTGGAGTTTGAAGCTGTGGTCATGGTATCAAAGCCGTAAGACGCCAATGATGTAGCAGAAGGTGGGGTAGTGTCTTCACCTGCACAACCCTCCATCTCAGCCTCCTCTCCCTCTTCTACAGTGGACAGGCAGCGCTGAGCTGGAGGCTGGCTGTCAAAGGTTATGTGGCTGACCAATGGACTCTCCAAGGAATCATCCAACTGAGCTTCTCCCTCTGTGTCGCTGGCCTCATCTTCTGTTCCGGAGCATGAAGAGGGGTTTGAAGTGGGGGCAGTTGCAGGGCCTCCCAAGACTTCATCAGCAGGCAGGGTCTCTGCCTCAGCTTCCTCTTCTCCCTCCCCATCTTCTCTCTCCAAGTGGATGCCCAGGTCCGGGTCATCCAGATCAGGCTGTGGGGAAAGCACAGACGCCTGCGCATCTTGAGGCTGGAACTTTCCATCTCTATTGTAGTCCCCAAGTTCCTCAGGTGTGCTGGTCTCACTGCTCAGGGTGCTTGACAGAGACATTCCTGGGGCAGAGAGGGGAGCTGGGGCCAGGGTCTGCATTGGAGCTGGGCTGGACTGGTTCATGTACATTTGGGCCTCTGGATTTTGTGGCTCATCTTTGTTAGAGGAATGATGGGGAACTTCTTGGTTTTCAAGAGCAAAAAGACCAGAGCCTAGTTCTAGCCAGGCTTGGGCTGGGGTCTGAGTTGGTGTCTCTGAATCTGCTTGCCAGGGCTCTGCCAAAGGGCTTGCAGCAGCTGCTCCTGCCCCCTGTTCAGGCTGGGAGACGTGCTCAAGAACCTGCTGTGGCTGAAGAGGTTCTTCCCAGGGATCAGCAAAGGGGTTTGGTTGGTCCCACTGAGCCGCAGGGGCAGAGGGCAACATAGGGGGAGGTGGTGGCTGGGCCACTCTGTTCAGGTTGTCCAGCCTTTCATCCTCAGCAAAATCATCCTCATCTGCATTACCATAGCTTTCCAGTCCGCTCTCTGTAACCCCCTCACTAGCCATCTCAACATCTTCATCCTCCTCATCGTCATCCACATCATTGTCATGCCTGGGTCTCTGCGGTTCATCTGCCCGCTCTGAGCCCACATCCATGTCACACACCCGATCATCGTCATAGTCGTCATCTTCATCCTCATCAAAGTCATTAACGGGTATCTCAGGAACCTTCTCAAAGTCAGGTGAACCTGCTGAGGCTCCTTCCATATCAATGGCTCCTTTGAGACTGCCGTCTCCTAGATCATCCATGCTCTCTGTGCCCTCCAAGACACCAGGGGCACTCAATTCAGACGCACCCTGCTGGCTGCCGCTTACATCCTCGGAGTCCAGCTCAGAGAGCAAGGCGCCACCAGCCCTCCAAGCAGACCCTCCAACTGGTCCAGCCGATCCAGGACGAGACTCCTCCGTGGGCTGTGTGGTTCCACTCATTTCAGACACAGAAACCAGCTGACTTCCCTCCCTCTCCTCTTCGTCCTCCTCGTCATTTAGATTGGTTGGAGGAATCATCTGAGGAATACCATTTGCTGATGCCTGGAGGGCTTTAGATGTGGAGGGGGTTTGGTTAGTCAACAGGTAAACAGGCTCCTCAGAGAGGTCTGGAGTCGAGGCCACTGTTGGTAATGTAGGCTCAGCTATGGCAGGTGTCTGCTCCTGTGCTGTTAGTAAGGGAGTGTTGCTTTCTAACTGCTCCTGGGATGGAGATGTTTGTGCTAAGGCTGTCCTGACAGGGCTTTGTGGAGGAGGGGAAGCAGCTGCATGGCTTTGAGCAGTCGTTTGAGGTACCACCTCCGGAGTGGTATCCTGGGCCAAGATTGGGGGAGGGAACTCCTCTGGTGCAGAGGCCGCAACAGATGATTCTTGCGGTAAGGACACTGTAGCTTCCGTTTGTCTTTCTGCTAGCACAGTCGCTGCTGCTACCGCTGCTATCGCTGCACCAGCAGCACTCTGTGCTCCTAAAGCAGGTATGGTAGTATTTGTAACCCCCGTCTTCTTTGCTGCAGTGAAAGGTGAGACAGCCTGAGTGGGTTTGGTGCCACGTTTTGCCAGAGATGTGGCGCTGTTTGCATGTTTGTTGGCTGGAGAGGCAGGTGGGGTTCGGCCAAGGGGTGGTTTGTTAAGGGCAGGGAACCGAACAGCAGCCAGAGGTTTCTTTGTAGGAGTAGATTTCGCAAGTGGTTGAGTTTTTGCCTGTGACACCTTGGGGTCTGCTGCCTTCGTTGTTGTTGACCATTTGGAGGCAGAGCTGAGCTTTACGGTGGCTGTGGGTTTAGAGGGTTCTGGTTTTCTGGAAGCAGTGGATGTTGTAGTTGTTGTAGGTTTCTTAGCAACTGCAGCAGAAGCTGGTCGACTGACATCTGGTGAAAAGAGAAAAACATCAATCAATTTACCCAATACGATTATCAGTAAAAAAAATAAATTGTGATAAACCCATGTTGGCAGAGCATTTTTATTTTAGACTGTCAATTCAAAATAATTCTATCACATCACATTTAATACTGATTTGCGTTTCCAATGAACTTAGCCACAGCTAAAATCTGAAATTGTTCATAAACAAATGTTTTGACACATAACAGATATTGCTGGGGCAAAAGTCAACAATTTCATGCCATTTCATGATAGACATTTTAGACCGAGTTTCAAAATCTCAAACCAAAGCCGTCAGTTATGCTCCAGAAGAGAATCTCCTCATCCTCAGGACAAGGGTCAACTTCTAACCTTTCTTAGCAGCAGCAGTTTTGGGAGGCTGTGCTGCTGTGGTCCTGCCAGAAGAGGATGCTGTGGTAACTCTAGAAGCAGCAGGTTTGGCAGTTGCAGTGATGGAGGGCTTGGTTGTAGCTGTGGTGGGCCTGGATGTGGTGGCTGCAGGTCGAGACGCTGAGGGACCTGTAGCAGGTCTGGAGGCAGTAAAAGAAAGACATGTTCAGGTGACACACAAATACCTAAGAATAAAAAAAAATTTAAAACAAAAAAAAGCTGTAGTAGCTTAATATTTGTGGTCCACTCCCTTTGTTGGCAAAAATCCCCCTCTACATGCAAAAATGAATTCCCTGTTCTAATGTAAACCCATTAACACAGCAACATCCATCCATCTATTGCCACAGTGTAATGCCTCCTTCATTCTCCAATCAATTCAAAGAGGCGGGAACCGCGTGTAATGAGGAGGATGGCAGAAGAAAATAAAATATAGATGGGGAATGGAAAGCTTGAATAGAATAAGAATGACAAAAAAAACATATTGCAGACGTAAAGGAGATGGGAACTGAGGCAATGAACAGTAACAGTGAAATAATATTGTTAAAAAGAGGAAGAAAGGGAGAGGGGGAGATAATAGCTAAGAACACATACAGGAAGTGGAGGAGGGAAGAAAACATCGGCTTAAAATCAATCCTGTATTAAGCTCCTGGTCTACTTCTCAGTCTGGAAGAGTTCTTATGTGACACTTCACTAATCCACTCCATCACTCTAACTGCAACAAGCCAAAACTCCTATCTGTATAAGAGAAGAGGCTCTTCCATTAGGCTACGCTCCTAGACAAGCAATAGATTCACCATGTGCTCTCCCCTAAGCATAAGCATACTGGACTACAACCTACTACAGCTACAGAAACTTCACATTACATTGGTTCACTTAGCATATTTGAACCTACCTTCATGTCAAAAAAAAGAAAATCATGTGGCCACATTCTCCCTTTTGCTTTACTAAAAAGAGAATAAACACATAGTGAGTGGAAATATGCAAGTAAAGCACCAGAGCAACTCTGTCTGCACTATCCCTACAAGATTAATTTGGGATATTTAGTTATGCATTTCATGGCCTTACTGAGAGACATGAAGGCCAAATAGGCAAGCCTTTTCCTAAAAACAGTCCTGCTCTGAGCAGCTCAACTAAAGCAGGCAAATATTAAGTATATCCATGTGCCAACACCCTGTTATAAGATTACATTTGACAATCAGTCAAAGTGACTTGCATTGAGGTGACTGAAATGTACAGTGATATTTGTGCATCAGACTTGAAAGTACAGGGATATGAGGAGCAGTAACCTACATAAAAATCTGAATGTTGCTTGTGCTGTGCTATACTTGGCTCTGAAATCTCCACACAATACATTTGCCTGTGCTGCAACTACACTACACTTCTATATTGGCTAACCTACAAAACAAAAAGTCCAATCGGTTAAATGAACGACTCGTCAGTTGCAGACAGTACTAGCCATCTTTTCAACACTTGAACCCTGGTGTGCAAAAACAATGCAAAACCTCAGCAATGTAAATAATGCGTTTAAAATCTGTTTCTAATAAAACAGATCAAGTTTCACAACAACAAAAGCTGCATAATCAAATGTAATTGTCTAAAGGAACTGTGTGATCCAACAACCAATTACAACAACCTCCATTATGTATTCTTTTGAACTTTGTGTGTCTTTGTTGGTAGATGATGTGGACATGCATCGACATTGATGGCTTCCAGCATAGTAGCATGCCTGCACACAGATGCCGCTCCCACATTACAATAACCATTACAATGACCATTTGTTTCCCCTAGATCAGACAGCAACTGCACAGACATGAACTCGTAGGGAATATTGTAATGGGATGCTATCAGACAGATGATTTGGGTTACAATGTGAATTGCAGCCCAAAAACTGGAAAGTGTGTCAGACACTGAGATGAAATCTGCCCTGAGCCAATGTTGGGTAATGAACAACAGAAGAATAAACAGATACACAGGACAGGAACTTTTAAAACAGAAAAACAATAGTGGAATGGGGGCAAAGGTAGGAAATGGATGCATTAATTGAGGCAGTTTTCATATCTAATCCTGCATGCAAGCAAAATGTGAATTGACAGGTCCACTCAATTATAGCAAGACTCAAGGCAGACAAAATTGAATGAATTACTTTCTCTAAAAAGGGAAAAATGATGAGTCTGAGGGATGAAATTAGAGAGAGAGAAATAAAAAGAGTTAAGGAGAGGGAATAAAAAGGGGCAAGGGGAGGTCAGAGGCACAATACAACCCCCAACTGCACCCTACGTTGTTTTATGAGTCATAACTCCTAATGGTTTGATCCAGAGGGACGGCACAGAGAGGAACAGATAGACCCAACTAATGCCTGTACTCCACACACTGTCTGTGGGTGGTGGCTGGTGGTTCTGTTGTTGGTGTGTTAGTATGGATTAGATTTCCTGCCAACAGAGGGTTGAAATCAATACAAATCACAGTCCAGAGGGAGGATGAGAGGCACTCCACAGCCATCTAAAAGGATTTTAATGACCAAACGCGAGGTCTTAACGGCAAAGGTCAGAATAGGGACAAGTCACTGACACACTTTATGGCTTCCTCTACAGTCAATATTCACAAATGTTTATGACAGATGCAAAAAACACACCCATGGTATTAACATACTGAGCAGCTGAAACATCTGTTTGGCCAAAAACCAAAGAGTAAACATGAGCCAGGGGGGTTTGTTGGAGCCACACCCACTCCATCCATTCATCCAAGACTCCCTCTTGTTCCCTTCTAAAAAAACACAACTGGGAGGCTAGACTCCCTTGGCATACTCGCTGCTGTGGATTAAATTATTCTGTTTTAATCAATCCAAAGAAAAAAGGAGAGGGCTTGGCCCAGAGGTACACTTTATCCCTGTTACAGCAAGTTCATCCTACAAATAAAATGCATTCCAAGTACACATTCTTCTGCCCTCGTGCTTTTCCCCCCTCATCACTTCAAGGGCCCCCCTCCAAGACAACAAATGGAAATGGAGCACCCTAACAATACCTTGTTTGGCTTGTAGGCTGTCCAAAACCAGCTGCTTTACTGCTTCTCGAGAGGAGCACACATTCCTAGGGTTTGTGTGGGCCTACAGTTATCTCCTTGACAATAGAGTAGAGGCCTGAATCAGGTCAGCGGAGAGTTTAGATGAAATGTTGTAGCCTAGCAATAGCATGACAGACAGTGTTGGCTCTTAGGTCCTAGGCACCCACTGTCACTGTGATAGATGCCATGGGCCTTTTCTGTTAGGACAGTAATCCTGCCGCCTGCCAAGACTGTCAGGAAGAAATTACAGTTTTATCTCCAATGGCACAACACAGAAGAGACATGGACAGAAACAGACAAAAAAGATAAGTGAGAATAAAGTGTGTTGCAATGGTTTTGCTGTAATTTTGATAACATTTTCCAGTACAGGCCATTCAGTTTATGAATAAAGAGAATGAGAGAGAAAGTACTATCCACCAGCAATTCTGTCCCAACGGTGACCCTTTTGAATATTAATCATCTTACAGATTGTTCAGCACCATGAAGGCATAAGCACTGTCTCTCTCATGTTACACAACTACTCTCTGAAATTTACGGTCTCTGTAATGCAGCTAAATGATGAATGAGTTAGAAATATGGGGACAACTAGATGGAAGATGGTCTGTAAGGAGGGCTTTAGGAGATCCTGGCCAAATGCCCAGCACTGTACATGCACAGACGGCAAAAAAAAAAAAAAAAAAAAGGGACGAGGGGGAAGAGAAGAGATTGAAAGAGGGGGTGGGGCGGACAAAGACTGATTGCTCAGTCAGAGCAAGGACACCATAACCCATCATTGGAGGACAGCAAAGCAAAGCAGGTGCCAGATTTTAAAACATTTGGCTTATACTCTAGTTATAAAGGCTTCTCATTGACCACTGAGACAGAGACATCCTCCTGTCATTCAGATGGACTGTGGGTCTACTCACGCATGAGTTTTAGTTACATATTATAACACAGAAATAACATGCAGCTGAATAGATCCTACCACATTACTGTAGACAACAATAATATTCAGATCAGATCCAGCCTTTGCAATCATATCCTTCAATCAAATCTTATTCCCACCTTCCCTAAGCACAAATCCTGTTTACGAGACCTTATCGCTGAAAGCAATCACCAAATCTTTTTTGCCCTTCAAACATGAAGCTCCGGTAAAAGTAAAACTTTTTTTTTTTTTTTTAAACCCAATGTTTTCATTCTTCCCTTTGGGCCGATCAACATTAATATTTCATGAGAGGGGCTGGTCTTACTGGCCATTGGCAGTGTGTGCTTCTACACTTTCAGTGGCATGTTGCATACAGTGTCCTTATTGTCTGTGCTGTTTAAGGTCTACATGAAAGATTTACCTGCAGATGCTTTACTTAAAAAAATAAAAAGGGGTTGCTGTGTTTTTGTGTGTGGCAGTGTGAACAACAATGACTTCTGTTGTCTTAGTAATATGAAAAAAACAATATGGCAGGGCTGGAATTACAGGAAAGTGACTGCAAAATTACAAGGTAGAGACTACTCGGCCATTGTTTGCAGCTAAATAATCTCACAGGGTAGTTTGCCATAAGCTTTAACACCACTAAATTCTGTTGGATGTGTTGCTATAGATTGCTAGTGCCATCATTCCCAGTGCCATGAATAATGCAAGTCACCGCTTGAGCTGAAAGAAGGTCTCTTGGTGCTAATGTCTGACTCTGCCAGAGAGCCTGCACGAACACCAACACTGACTGAAAAGCACACCACTACCGCTACACAAAGGATTCGACATGCCACTGACTTTGCCATCACACGAAGGTGGCACGAAATGCAACATGCATTATCTGTGACATGGGCAGAGACCTGCTGCAGTTCTCTCGGTGTCTCAAGCCTGAGAGACGAGTGTCTGATGTCACGTTCTAGGGAACAAGACAGTCACATAAGGATGATGTGCTACTGTAAATCAGACACAAACACTTGAAATGTTAGATCTGATTAATTCAGAGGACAAGCTTCTCCATGTACAGTCAAATACAGTCACACACTATACTGTAGAACATCAAAAACCTGTTGTCAAACCTGTTGTTCAAAAATATATTCTGTCAACTTGGATTCAAGAAACCTGATAGAAAATTCCTAAATAAAAAATGTACAATGCCTGACTTTTTGTAGATTAACAAAAATAAACAATAATGTGAATATCTATTCTTTTCAGTCCTAGCATTGTCTCCTGTAAAATATGACAATTCTATCAATGATAGAAAGAGTTGAAGTATAAAAATAGGCATTGCTTACTCACAAATAGGCTTTTTTTCTTATAGTAAAGAAAGAATGAAATGACCTTGTGCGGCTTCTTAACACAGAATGACGCAGCGCATTATTTCTTTATTTAATAAGAGATCATTAAGACGGAAGACAAGTGGAAAGAGGATCTAAACAGGCCTGTAAGAACAGAGCACTACATCCCGTGGAAAGATGTTGGATTGGTGTATTGATACGACTCTATAAACTTTAGAGACAGATCACTTCATTTATACAAATGCCTATCACATTAATCAACTTCAAATTCAGCAAGTTTGTGCTTAATGCTATGGCTACCAGCTGATAATTATGTTTGTCACCAGATTATAAAAGCTAGTATATTTAGAATTTCTTTCAGGTGAAAAGGTAGTAAATAACAGGTCAAGCTATGAAATTTTACATCCAAAATGATCATCGGAGAGCAGCTCTTTCAGCAAGTTTAGTCATCTAGCGCACTCTCTATCCAAACCACCAGCTCAGTATGAGAGGGATTATGATCTGACTCAATAGCTCTCTGCCCCGGGGGGTGGGGCTGGTTTCTGCCAGGAGGTCCGTTTGGGACAAAGCGGTAGTTCTTCAGTATCACTGCCTCTGTTAAGGCCCCTCTGTCTCAGGTTATTTCTGCTAACATGACTCACACTCTTCAAGTGAAATCTGACTCAATAACGACCCAAAGACCACAATGGCCATCGTTCTCCACTGCTCTCTTTCAGGGCATCAAGATAAACAAAGTCACTCTCTCATCTAGTTTTTAAGGGTGGTTACAAAGTTCAGATCTCAGAGCGGGAGAGCATGTGTGTGAATGACAGATGATGCAAAACTGAGAAAAAGAGGGTGTTTTTTTTTTTTCTTTCAGTAAGATAAAAGGGGGTTCCCAACCAGAACTTCAAAAGTCTGTGTTTGAGTGCTCTATGGACACAGTATCATCGACTGTTTATATTATTTAATCCCCTGCGTTTGTGATAGGCAAGCATACCTGGTGGTCTTTGAAACGGCAGCAGCACCAGCTTTTGTTGTGGTCCAAGTGCTGGGTTTTGGGGCAGTGGGTGCTGTTGGTCTGCTGGTAGTAGCTTAAAAAGAATTGAAGAAAATTAGACAGCACAGAAAAAAAAGTTTTTAAAAAGTAGGAATGAAACCATGTTGTGAAAATATTCAAATTCAATTCAGTTTTACTTATCTCATTCAGACTTACCTGTAGTTTTGGGTCTAGCTACATTAACAGTCTCAGCCCCTGGTCTTTTCTTAGCAGTGCCATTCACTGTTGTTGGTTTGGTACCATTTGTAACTGTGGCAGTAGCAACAGAGGTAGTCCTGGCCGCTCCAATATGCTTCTTGTCAGGCACTCTAGTTTGGTTCTTAACCGTGGAAGAAACTGCTGCTGCTACACCCATTGGTCTTTTAGGTACGGCCCCCGCTGCTGATTTTGTTGTTGCCGTTTTCTTGACTGCAGCTGCAGAAGCATTGTTAGAGGATTTAACGTCATTCAGCGTGCGGTGAGAGCCAGTACCTGGCCGTGAGTTGGATCCAGAGGCTCCTCCAGATGCAGCTGTAGGCTGCGTTTTAGTTGCAGTAGCTTTTGGTTTGGTTTTGGGGTCTGCTGCTACTGGCTTGCTATTGGCCTTAGGAGCAGCTCTGGGTGCTGCATCCTTTGCAGCTTCCTCTGGTTGCGACGGGGCCTGCTCCAATGTGTCTTCCTGTGATGAGGAGGGCTCTGCTACTGCTGCAGCTTCAGTGGGCTCCGTGGTTTCCATGGTAACCCCATCCGGTTTCATTCCCTCCTCCTCAGGTGTGGACGCTGGCGTTACTGCTGTTGCTTTCAAGGTTCAGGGGCTCACACTTTTTTCAACGGCCAGTTCCTCTCACACTTTAATGTCCTGCAGAGGCACAACAAAACAAGGGTCACAAGCATGTCGATAATTTAACTGCACACCTCCTCTTAGATGCAGGATTGCAACATGCTGCACTACTCAAAGTCATGGAAAACAAATGTCACTGTCAGCCAAAGGAAATGCCATTTATGGTAAGGGGCCTACAAGGAATTTGGGGGAGCCTGAAAAAGAGGAAGTGAGCAGTGGGAGATGCCAACAAATCTTTTCTCAAAACTGTTTACTCTCCTCCACAGACTGCCCATCTAACAATGATAATGCAACATAAGGCCTGCAGCACCAAAATAAACCTAGGAATCAGTAATAAAATACCACAATAAAAAGGAACCATGGATTGGTTTAACTGCACAGTTTATGGGGCAGAAATATAAAAAACTAATGACTTGTGACTATGCCCCAAATGGCTTCCAGCATCTTGAAACTGAAAAGGAAAAGGCTGTGGTTTGGAGTGCTGAAAGCCAAGAGAGGCTTCACAATCTCTTGACATGACACACAGGCCACAGAGGAGGAGGAGAGGGAGGAGGTGGAAAACAAGCTCCAAACGGCCCATTTGTTGGCCATTGTCTTCCTCGCCGTTAAGCAGATACAGATGGTAATTGTCATTCTATGATCACTTAACAGATTTCTGTGCTGGGAGATTCCTTTATTGACAGCACTAGTGGAAAACTTCTTACACTTTATATTAATTTAGAGAAAAAGAAGCAGAAGGGCAAGATGTGGAGGATGTATGTGAATAGAGTCTAATATAAGTCTTGAACTCAGTCAAGTCTCTTGCTCTGGATGGACAGAGCTCTTCCCGGATCTGTTGTGGGTTTATTCAACCCCGCCCCCCCATCACCCCTTCAGACCACAGAAGCTTCTCCCCACCCCCTTCCCAATTACTCCTCTCCTTTTTCTACAGCCACTTGTTCTTCTGTACTCCTTGGTCACCCCCCCGGCCACTGCTAATAGATCTGCTTCCAGTAAATTGTTACACATATGGTCAAGCCAGTAGAAGCTCTGTATGGCCCACGAAACAGGCTGTGCAAGAGATGGATTGAAGAGGAAATGAAAAAAAAGTTGAGATGGCTAAAGAGCAAGAACTATATAAGAATATGATAAAGTAATGAAACAAAAGGGAGAGTAAAAGATTTATTTAAAAAAAGAGTTTAAGGAACACGAGGAATGGTACACAAAGATAAGTTGACAGGTTAGATTTAGAACAAGGTAAGAAAGGCAGGAGTAATAATATTAATGAACAAACTATGCTAGCAATTCAGAAAAGAGCAAACTGCACTTTCTGTGCAAACAAAAAGATTTACTTTATTATTCCCACAGTGGGGACTTTTCAAGGGCACCATATCAGTGCCATGGGGGTGAACTGGCACCTCCCACCTAAAAAAAAAACATAATAAAAAAAGTGTTCATGGTCATAGATGATTTATGATATGCAAACCATTAAAGCCAGATTACTAAAACCATCTAGGAAAAAAGTTCCAATGAGCAAAAGTTTCCACAGACACGAGACTACAGAGGCTTTATATAGCCTTACAGTGCAGAATAATAATCAAGTACTACAAGCTTTTGCCTTTAGGGTGGATAATCATCTCTATTTGACTCCAACTGACAAATTTCCAACAGAATTAAGTCTTTCAGAGAAGCAGCACTCGTTCTTGTCCAAAGGTCAGGAAACATTTGTTTCCTTGCCAGTTACACATTAACATCTGAGGTAACACGATACTGCATTCACTTTTTGTGCCAGAATCAAAAACGTTAAGTCTCTTTAAGTCTTAGCTCTTTGGCAGCAATGTACTGTAGGTTAGCTGAGCAACAACAATGCTTCATCAATCAAAATGACAAATGCATAAATAAATGAACCACTTGCTGTCAATAGGGAATAACTTGTTTTTCCAGTTTTAGGCTGACCATTGACTACACCAAACACAAGACTCATACAACATTAACACCCACACCTGTATACACAGCGACTGAAACCCCCCTTATCTCTTCTATAAAATTATTAAGCCCTACCCTTTGGTTCAGCCGTGGAAAAGTTACAAGCTGGACCCAGTGGTTGCCTTACAAAAGTTCTCTCCTGCTGCGTTCTCTACTCATTCTTGTTCTCCTCTGGTCTCTGTGGTTACAGATCTTACACAGAAAGGAAGGTCATGTAGTTGAGCGTAAGCTGCCTACCAATACAATGTTTGGATTGTCCCTTCTTTTTGGAAAATATCACACCTTAAAGTAAGGCTCAACTAGCCAATGTGTAGACTAGAGCCTTTGGGACAGTGATATGCAAATACAATTCATCATCACCACTCCATTTATATGAAAGGCAAGGTTTTTAAGCCATTAGCAAATTGCAAACCATACAACAAAAATCTATAATTGTAAAATTAAGTACAAAACTGTCTTTTTCTCTCTCTCTCTCTCTCTCTCTCTCACACCACTGATGTCTAGAGAAGTGGTTAGCCAGGTGGCTTCTCACAGATTCATCTTGAGTTTAATAATGGGTTGGCATGTTTGCATACGAAAGTATTAATTACATCAGGTCAAACTAGCTCTTTGAGAAAAGGTGGTGGCTCTCCTCAGACAGGAAGGAGCTGATCCAAACGAGAAGAGCAGTGGAGACAAGGAGCTGGACTGGCACTGTGACCTGCATGCCCTGCCATAGTTTTGCCAGTCCAGCCACTAATGCCAGGAGCTTAACAGATAGCAGAGTAAATCACATTCCTCATGTGATAACCCCCTTCTGGCCACGTAAAGGCATCATCTGTAACCAGCTGACACTATGTGACGCAGCACAGAGAGGAAGCGAATGGATCATTAAAATCCCATCCACACACGCACAGCACAGATAAGTAATGTTTTACTAAATTACAGCGCGACTGCTCTGCAGTGCTGGTGTCTGTTTTCGTATTAGAATACGCTATACACAGTTTGGGCATTCTTCAAGTGGTTAAGTCAATAGCGCCACATTTTGTGTTGAGAAAAATGACTGCACAACAATACATATACACAACAGCAGAATTATTGAAATGGTCCGCCAGGTCAAGATGAACAGCCTCATGCATTTTTATGAAGTACAAGAAAACCTCTATTGTCTGCCATTCCACATTTGCATAACAAATCCTACTTCACTGAAGATCTAAAACCACATTCAGGATGCCTTCTAAATATCACAACTAGCTCAATACCTTTGGTGACAATTTCAATGTGTAGCAAGTATTGTGATGATCACGACAGAGGCTGCAGCAATACAGGTTTAGCCCAAATGGGAGAAGTGTGTGTGTGTGTGTGTGTGTGTGTGTGTGTGTGTGTGTGTGTGTGTGTAAATGCAACCGTCACTTTGTAAGATTGTGAGAGGGAGTCTGTCTAGACAGAGAAAGAACTCAGTGGCCTCAGTGGTATTTATCCACTTCTTCTAATAAAGAAATATGGCTTTGCGTGTCATTAAATCGTATTCGTGACCTCTGAGAGATGGGGTACGACAGATATAATTAAACTGCCTCAAGACAGTCTCTCACTCTACATGTGCAGACATCAGAAGTGGTGCCTGACGAAATGGGTCACTTTTAATACTGTGTCTAATACAAGCAGAGAGGGATTTAGCTGTGTTGAGAGCATGGCAGGGGTTTGGAATGCATTGTGCAGACTGCTGGAGGAGGTGGTGGAGGGGGGCTGTTGATACTGATGCTGGGGCTTATTGTCATCTGTAGATTTACCCCAGACTGCTGCCAGCAATTATAAAATGGCAAAGAGACAATGCACATTAGGAGTGAAACTGATTCATTGCGAGTCTGATCTGTGAGTAAAGGCAAACATTTACACAAGGTCTAATTTTCCCTCATGTGCCATCTGTATAAGAGCAGAAAAATGATCACCAACTATTTTTCTAATTGATCAGTCCTTTTAGTCATTATTCAAGCAAGATAAGAAATAATCTGTTCTTCTAGCTTCTCAAATGTCTTGGATTTACAGCTTTTCTTTGTCTTGTCTTAATTATATAGTTAACTGAATATCGTTTGGTTTCAGACTGTTGGTCAGACAAAAGATATTAGGAGACATTACTTAAGGCTCTGAGATATGGTGACAGTGACTTTTTTATAATTAACAATTGTGACATTAATAAACCAAATGATTGATGGGTTTATTCTACTTAACTGATAAACTTAATCTCAGATTGCAGGCTTAGTTAGCATATTAAACTAGTGACTTCAGTAGCCTGATGTTGAGTTTCTACTTTAAGATTCATGTCAATGCTGCATCTGCTCCAAGATGATTCATGGTAGAAAGTGAATGCCTAAAGCAGCAGTGGTATCAAGAGCACATCCGACCCATCAACATTCCAGCTCTGCTGACTTCCTCAACACTCCTCAGGACTACACAGTGACAGCTGGCTGTGTGTGTGTGTGTGTGTGTGTGTGTGTGTGTGTGTGTGTGTGTGTGTGTGTGTGTGTGTGTGTGTGTGTGTGTGTGTGTGTGTGTGTGAGAGAGAGAGAGAGACAGAATAGGGAGTGAAAGGGTCACAGAGTGTCCAATGAATGTGTGTGAAGTATGTACATGCATCTGATAGAGCTGTGTGTGAGTGAGCAAAGAAGTGTGTAGGATGAAAGTGTGTATGAATGTAATTTGCACAAATTTACACGAATTTACACGCATGCAGACAAAAAAAGAGAAGAAAAGTGAAAGCTGGAATTTAGCAGTCCACCACTTCCTGCATTCTTTCAATTCCACAGGCACAGTTGATTCATCTCTATAGTCTTCCTAGAACCACACCTTTAGATATTTAAACACAAACTAAAGTTGGCCTGGTGAACTTGACCCTGGTTTCAGGTCTGGGAGTGTTCAGCAGACAGTGCAAGTAGAGTGGAGTAAGACAATGTTTACAAATGAGATATGAAGTCTGTGCTTCTGTTTGTTCATTAACTTTCCTCTGTGAGTCTGAGGGACAGGCATGTACACAGGAAGAAACACAGGCAGTATTGTGTATGTGTGTTCATACTACC